CTCTTATTAAATAAAGTCAGCTGTGATTCTGTGAAATACATTTCTGTTACCACAGATCCTATATACAAATTGTATATAGTTGCATATTGTTGTATATAGGATCTGTGGTAATACTAAGGTTATGTATGCTAAATAGACTTCAGATTGAACGCCATCACATTCATATTTATTGGTCGCTCATTTTCAATTTTCTCACCAAAATGCTCTTCCATAATAAAATTCAATGCAGATCGATAAGTAAGCACTCACTGTGCTGTAATTGGTTGAGTACTGAACTTTATTTAAACTTGAAACTAATTGTTAATAATATTACTGAAGTAGTTCTAAGTTTAAATTTAAATGGGCATGGACTGAAAAAAAAAAAAAAAAAAAAAAAAATCAGCTGTACATATTGTTATATATAATATCCTATAAACACCCCTTAATTTTGTCAAATACAAATGCCAATCTAAAATTCATCTTTCTCTGTCTGCTACTCTACATCAATCTCACTTATACAAGGTAATCTGGCATTACGCTAAGCTTTTACCTGTTCTGATGTGATATAATAAAAAATGAAAACATTGAAAAAAAAAAGAAGTTTACCTGTTCTCCTTTATGTTGTATAGGTATGAAGTATTTTACTGCCCTCTCTCTTAAATGCAGAGTAGGTTCCTCTTTCGGGCATTTTTCGCATTTTATTTTTCAAGGCACTTTAGTAAGTGAACATGTACGGCTGACTGTTCCTTTTAATCTCATGAAAGGTTGGATTTTTAACAAGACTACCTGTTCTCCTATCTGTTGTATTAAGAGTTATAAAACACTTGACTGTTCCATGTCAGTTCCAAACTATTAACTGCTTAAGTAATAATATTACTGAAGGAATTCTAAGTTTAAATTTAAATGTACTTGGACTGAAAATTAACAATCAGCTGTTATACTATAATGTAATATATTATAGTATAACAGCTGATTGTTAATTTTCAGTCAAAGTAAGTTATAATATATTATATTATATCTTATAAACATCCCTTATTTTACCAAGTAGAAATGCCAATTTAAAATTCAACTTTCTCTGTGTACTAGTTTACAAATTATATGCTAGATTTTACCTGTGAGAATGAGATTAAAAGTAGCAGTCATGTTTAAAACATATATTTTAAAAAGTTATTTTTGAATTTATTTTTTTTTGTTTAAAATGTGCATGCGCCATTTCCATGATTTATTGGCTGTCAAAATAATTTCATAAAACTTCATTTTTATAGCATATCAGGAAAGTGTTAAAATTTAGAGTAGGCTCTATCATTACCATGTGCCTTTTATGTATGTATGATACTTGTCCTACATGCAAGAAGTTAAACAACCAAAGAAGTATAATAGTAGATATTTAGATAGAGAAGTCATATATTGTAGATTTAATATGAGTAAATGCGGATTCTGTTTTTTGAATGTGTTGATATCAAATTCGTTTGTTTGGGATTATCATTACTGTATTCAAATATTGATTTTGATTAGTTACACTATTGTTGTTACTATCAAACTTGGATTGTAATAACACTAGTTGACTTTTCAGTCCATGTTATTTAATTTGGTTGAAATGTATTTTCTGTTAAACAAAATTGTTTAAAGGGAAAGAACAAAAACACTAACTCCATTTGTTCTCTAGTATTAATTAATTGATGTACTGTACTTTACTGACATCAAACTTTTTGTCTTAACATCATCCTGGGCAGTACAATGTACAGTATTGAAATACAGTATTTATGGTCATTACTAAATTAAAAGATTCATTATGTAAAGTAGTTCTATACAAACAAAATGTATTAAAAATCAGTGAGAGATAAAAAACAAATATTGTTGTTTATTAAAACAAAATGTTTTATATCACTATTTTGTTCATTCACATCTCTGTCCATCTTTAACCAGGGAAGAGTGTAATCCTACTCCTCTTTGCTACTGAAGTGTTCAATTTACTTCAGTAATTCTCATAAGATATAACACACATTCGGTCCTCGGTTCAATAGTATACAAATAATGGAAGTTTATGAGTTCAATGGGGTAGATTATTTTATTTAGGCGCTAGTTGATTGACCGAGCGGTTAAGTCTGGGGCACTGTAACCTTCAGCTCTAATATAGGAGCTGGTTCGAACGGCTCACTCGCCAATAATTCAGGTGATGGAAAAAGTTATACGGGATAAGGACTTTAAACTGTAGGCCCATGTAATTGTCTCGTGTGCACTTTAAAGAACCCTGTACATCCTTCAAGAAGAGTAGGGGTTACCGCGGTTTACTGGTCCATTAAGTCCCCTGTTGTTAAATGGATATGGCATGTAGGACAGTGATTAAGTTCACTTATTGGCATATTGTTGAAATGATATTCGGTGAAATTCAAATAGAATAAAACAAAGGTGGCTCCAAACAGATATTAATTTTGGCCTCACTAATTAATTTCTCTATTTGGAGTCACCTTTGTTTAATTTTATTTTATGAATAAAATGCATTAATTATTTTATGCAGGATGGTTCCCCCCCCCCCATTATTTCCTCTGTCCTGTTCAATAGAACCGATTGAAATGTACACACACAGTCAGTCCTCTGTTTAATGGAACCGATTGAAATGTACACACAGTCGGTCCTCTGTTCAATAGAACCGATTGAAATGTACACACACAGACGGTCCTCTGTTCAATAGAACCGATTTAAATGTACACATACAGACGGTCCTCTGTTCAATAAAACCGATTGAAATATATACACACAGTCAGTCCTTTGTTCAGTAGAACCTACTGAAATGTACACACACAGTTGGTCCTCTGTTCAATAAAACCGATTGATATATATGCACACAGAGTCTGTCCTCTGTTCAGTAGAACTGATTAAAATATACACACAGTGTCGGTCCTCTGTTAAATAGAACCGACTGGTATACACATATAGTCAGTCTTCTGTTCTCCAGATTTACAGGGCCCCCCTCAAAAAAATTATGTGCCTTTGGTGCAATCTTTCTTGCGCTTCGCGCTCGTAACTAAGGGCCCACACCATCTTTTTGGCCCTGTTACAGTTTTCCCTCTTGGCGGCCCTGCTACTCGTCGTTGGTCCTCTGTTCATTATAATAAGGTGAAACTGTCACACACAGCAGATGGTCCTCCAAAGTATACAGTATAACTATGTTAACTGTTTGTTTAACAAAAAGAAAATTCAATGTTTCAATAAAATATTCTTTTTCATTGATCATTTGTGAACACATAAACGCAAATTTTAGTTTCGTACAATTCGCCAAATTCACAGGAGAAATAACAGTCATGGAGATGAAGTAAACTTCAACGACTAATTATTTATTTCGAATAGGAACTAGGATCAAAAGCATGTGTCAGGCGTAACAAAATCATAGTAAAAACCGTAGCAAAAACAAACCAAACAAAACCCCCAACTTGACCGGGCAGTGACTGCCAGCATGCGTCAAGCTAGAAAGGAAAAAATACAATATAACACAATAATTTATAAATACAGTTATTGCGAGGTGCAATTACAACTGACTCATATCTATAAGTTCTCTACCATTAATCATAACATATTTAGTTGGCTTATTGCCTTACTTCACTTAAATATGCTAATCAATTAAATGAAAATAAGAGTAATTAAATCTAACACACAGTAATTAACTGCAGTAATAATTAACATAGAAATGATGGTTTAAAGAATGTATATCAACAATATGGCAAATTATCGTCATAAAATGATAATTAATAAGAGTCGTAATAATACCAAATAGATCAGTAATTAAATGTAAATAAATACAATAGCACACAACATAATCATATCAATATCATCAATTGTAATAATAAATAAAAGAATGGTATTCCAATCATAATAATAAGCATGATAAATAATAAGTCAATCAAACATAGTCATCATATCAAGTTAAACAAAGGAACTTAATGCCACCTTATCATAAGCTGCACGTTACGACGTGACTCTATAACATGAGCCTTCTTATCCTTGACTATTGCAAGTCCTGTTAACCAAAATAACATAGCATTCTTTAATACAATGGCTCGAGCGTAACAAGCGTGACCTCTGGCCTTTACACTTTCACTAGTTACAACACTTGCTATTTCTTTACACACATTTACTATACTTTACTATTTACTTCATGAAATGCATAGCTTAACATATCATAATGCCAATCCTTAGTGGATCAGACTATTACTCTGTATTGTATTCATCCAGTGCTAACACTAGAATATAAATCTAGGCCCAGCCTAGTTCAATGAACTTAATCACCGTCTTGTGGCACACATGTTGCTCGTCCTTAATTATCATGCCTGTCTCCCTAAGCTCAGGCAGAGGCCTATCTTATCTATGAGCAAGTTAATATCGCATTATAAAACAATAGAGCATTCTTTAATTAATAATGCCAGATCTAAATACATAAATATCATTATAAGAAACTTAATAGAGCATACCTATGCCTTCCCTAGGCAATACAGTACATGACAACCTCCACAACTTTACACAATGTGTTGCTCCTTCGACTTCTGGCTTTGTTGTGAATAAACGCTGTCAAAAGAGACGCTCTAATCCTAATTACATATAACCCGCGGAATCACCCTCCGCACTATATACATCTTTATTAGGCTATAACCATATAAAAGTAACATTCTCTTCTTAACCAGCAACTTGTTATGAGACGCATATACAATTGCAATGCATCATCATTACTAAACATATTTTTAGTAATAAAATATATAATTAAAAATGAGAACTATATAAAACTGAGTAGTAACACAGGGCTACTCACTCCTTTATTAAAACATCTACGGAAGTCGTTATGTAACATGATTAAGATAAACATGGTATTAATTATTCAGAAGTCAACGTGAATGTGATGAACAAAGAAACTAAAATTAAACAAAGAAACTACTGATATCCAAAATTAAGTCATAAGGAAATGGGTAAAACCCATACCTTACAAACTCCCCAGCTTTATCTGTTGTCGTCCCTGACAACATCAGTATCAAATAAATAATTAATGGTACAATAATAAACAGTCCAAAAAAAATGAAGAGTAGCAATAGGAAAAATTTAAAAAAAATTAAGAAAATAATATCCAGCTGTCACATTCTCCCCAGCTTTAACTGTTGTCGTCCTCGGCAACGGAAACTTTTCTCTAAAATTACTCTCTTTAATGTTTGCTAAACTCTCCAGCTACCATCTGCGCGAATAGCAATTGTGTCTTGTTGAATTCTGCTAAGATGGCATTATTAACTGCGACCTGCTTCTCTTCTTCAGCTTTAATTCGTAATGATCGTCTAATTGGTATACTTTCCGTTTCAGTTTCAGACTGATCACTGTCATTACTATGGACATCCTTAGAATTATCATTCCCTATATCTAAATCTTGTCTACGAACAATATCCTCTTTATTCCGGATTAAATCTCCTTCGTTATCTCTGTTTACAATTTTACTCAAAACAGGAACAGGTTATACTTTATCATTATGTACAGGTGGAGGTTCTACTTGATCATGGAGCGCAGGTTCCGCAACATTGTGCTGTATAGGTGTAGGCTCCTCTTCACCATACAGTTCAGGAAGAGGTTCTGCTTCTACATGCTCAGGTACCGGTACAGGTGAAAGCGGTTTCATCATGCTGGACAGGAATAGATTCTGTATCCTCACTAGGATGATAAAATACCTCAAATGGACCATCAAAACTGTCTGTGTTTACTATGTCACTTGGCATTTCCTCCTGTTGAGTTAAGTTGTTGCTAGAATCTGTATTTGGTTTTTCTGCTTGATTTGTCGGTTTTTCAGCTTGTTCTGTAAACTCTTCAATATCGACAAGCTCTCTTGAGTCTAGCAATTCTCTTCTGTTAACAGTTTTGTTTTGTCCGCCCCCAGTCAATGGTTGTATGGTATACACGGTTCCATCCGGATCAGGTCGTTTAATCACTACATGAGGTGTAGACAGCCAGCAGTGCTGTATCTTATTTCTGCCCAAGGGGTGATTTCTAAGGAATACTCGTGCACCAACCTGTAGATCTGCTGTGCGGTCATTCTTTCTCTTCGTGCCAGAGCTTGCCTTTCAGTTTCCACTAATGCACTTTGAAATGCTCTTTTCAATCTATTGTGATGCTCAGTCACCCACTCCTCTACGCACCCGCTTTCACCTGTGTCTACTCCATTTCCTAAGATGTGGTCAATAGGTAATTTTGGCTCACGGCCAAAAAACAAATAATACGGAGAATAACCTGTGAAAGAATTAGGTGTGGCATTGTATGCATACACTAATTCTGGAAGATGTTTAGGGCAATTTATTTTAGCTACTGGTGCCAATGTGCGTAAGCGATCATGCATTGTACGATTATATCGCTCGCACTGCCCATTACCCTGTGGATGGTAAGGCGTGGTTCTTGACTTGCTAATGTCGTATAACTTACATAACTCACGTATCACATTGCCCTCGAAATTTCGTCCTTGATCGCGGTGGATACGATGAGGGACTCCGAATCTCACGAACCATTCCTTGACTAGCACTCTAGCTACCGTTGATGCTTTTTGGTCTTTTGTAGTAATGGCTTGTGTATACTTTGTGAAAACATCAGTCATCACAAGAACATTTTCTAGATTATTCTTCCCAGGTTCTAGGGCAGTAAAATCTATGGCTAAGACTTCAAGTGGCTTCTTCGCTAGGGGTGGCGCCAGAGGAGGGGGTGGGGCTATAACCCCCCGTCGGGGAAGCATAGCCCCCCCCGTCGGGGAAGACGATAAATTTTGTCGGGGAAGACGATAAATTTTGTCGGGGAACAAACAAATAAAAAAAATATTTACATGTAATATTCGTTTAGCCACCATATCGTTTGTGTTAACTTTTCATCACAACAACAACCACAATAATAATAATAATAATAATAATAATAATAATAATAATAATAATAATAATAATAATTCAATGAGACTAATTTAAAATAATTTGCGTTATGTTATGACAAATGCTCATTTAGATAGCCTCATGATGGTTGGAATACATCGTGATAAGTGAAGCAACCTCGACGATGACAACGTGGTTGACAGATTTCATGCAAAAATTCCAAAATATAGAATTTCACTTTCAAGAATGAGGATTTGAAAATAAATTAGATGGTTACATTGCATACTCTTTGTTTCTTCCTTTATTCAAAATGTTTTGGTTTTGGAAGCTGATGACAACATTAGAAAGCATAGCCTACATGAAGTCATATTATAGTAACTCGATGCCTATCAAATAAGTAATAAAAATTCGCCATAATTCATCCTGGCCAATAACATCTCTTCCTCATAACTGCTAAGGTTTTCTGACTAGATTGGTGACCCAGGTCGTCATGCACAGTACTTAAAACTTTTGTTTTTAAAGCTTCTGGTAGTAAGAGTTGTATCTTTTCTCCATTATCTACTATATTTCTATACAGCACTCCTGTACTCTCTGATAATCTTGACCATTCTCGAAGTAGCTTTCTAACTTCCCTTGGCTCTCTTACTAACTGCCTTTGTACTGGGGCTCTCCCGATTTTCCAATAATGTAACCACCGTCCTATAATATAGTCAGCATGCTGCAAGTTTACCATATATGCAGTCGAAATTGCAGGAATAGTTGTGGATGCTGTTGCTGATGTGTGGATATGAGTTAGTGGGTTATTATCGGTGAATACTGTAAATTCATTCCCTAACAACAAGTCACGAAATTTCTCTGTAATAGACCACTTGAGTGCCAGAAACTCTAGTTTCATACTGCTGTAGTTCAGCATATTCTGTTCATTCTTTCGTAATGATCTAATCGCAAAAGCCAGAACAACTTACCATTTTGATCCTGGGAAAGCACTGCTCCTAACCCCTTGTTGCTGGCATCAACTTCCAAGATATAAGGTTTGGTAAAATCAGGATATCCTAATATGGGTGCGGTGGTCAACTTGTGCTTCAGAATATTAACCGCTTCTGTGCATTCGTCTGTCCACTTTTCGTGAAATGTCGTCTTGGTCACAGGAACAGAATGTTTAGTCTTGCTCTTTTTACTCGCATCCCCCAAAACTGAATGTAGAGGTGAGGCAATTTTCAAGTAGCCTGCTACAAAACGCCTATAGTACCCACATAGCCCAAGAAAGGAACGTACTTCAGTTTCAGTGGTTGGGATCTTCCAATTCTTAACTGCCTCGATCTTTTCTTGATCAGGAGCAACACCATCTGCAGATACGATATGACTAAGATATTTGACTTTAGTCTGAAATAAATAACATTTCTCAGGCTTTACCTTCAGATTTCTTGCTCTGAGCCGTTGTAGTGCCATGTCTAATCGTTCCAGCGTCTGATCATAGGTTTATCTGAACACCAATATGTCATCGAGATAGATGAGCACAGTTTGTAAGTTTTGGTCGCCGAATACAAAGTCCATCAACCTCATAAAAATAGCCGGTGCATTGCACAAACCGAAAGGCATATGAGTAAACTCATATAGACCTCCAGTTCCGGTTCGAAACGCCGTCTTCTCTATATCTGCATCGTCAACTGGGACTTGGTGAAAACCATGTGCAAGGTCGAGACTGCAAAAACATTTCGCTCCCTTTAACGCATCCAAAGCTTCCTCTATTCTTGGCAGGGGATAGGCATCTTTGTGGGTCTTCTCATTTAGGGTCCGATAGTCTACACACATCCTTAACTTCCCATCCTTCTTTTACACAAGCACAATTGGTGAAGCATATGGGCTTGAAGATGGACGTATTACACCTTTAGTTAAAGATTTATCTATGTACTCACGTGCCTCGTCCGATTGATGAGGTGGAACCCTTCGGAGAGGAATTTTGATGGGCTTTTGGTCGTGTAGAATTATTTTGTGCCTGACATCGTTGCAAAAACCAATGTCGTCTTCATCTTTACTAAAGACGTCGCAATGCTTGTTGATCATTCCCTGCAATAAATTTTGTTGTTGGTTGTTAAGTTCCTTACCAATATTCAATCTTGACATCAAACCACTGACCAACTTTTCGTCACCTACTTTTGCGATTTCTCGTAGCTGGTTGTAGGTAGATATCTGTATCGGCAAAATTAGCAATTTGTAAAGGTACCCTACCAAGTTTAGTTACTTCTACTAATGTTGGTGCAACAGCTAATCCACTATGAAGGTCATAACAGTGATTTTTTTCTATGATTGTCTGGTACACACCAACTTCGGATTATACGGTAGTGCAGCTGACTGTCGCCATTGTCCTTGCTGGTATCAATACAGGCTTGTTCTCGGCTATCCTAACCAGACTGCGACCGTAAGGTGGTTGAATTGATGCAGAGATTTCTTCATATAGGGCCAGCGCATGGATAAGGTGTTTCTCCTCCTCTGACTTCCCTGCAGTTACATCTCCCCACTGCACAGACACCACTCTTCTCATATCTCTTAGGACGTTTGAACCAAGCACGCCTGGTACTTCTCGTTTTCTATCTGCCATGGGAGAACAAACTACATCTTTGACCACAAGGAACCCCATATTCTGGAAATGGTGACCCATTGCCTGTAACGATACTTCTACATACCCCATGTAAGGTATTTCTA